CCTGATGAGTCTGTTTAAATGAACTGAGGTATGAATTTTTTTTTACAGAAGAGCTGCTGTGTTGACTCTGGAAGGCAAATACTTTTTATAGGAAATAAAAATGTTCAACTGAGGCAGGGCCTCAAACTACTGTTTGGTTAATAAATACATTTTTGTATTTGAATTTCTTATTGCCTGCACAGTTTCAGGTGTCATTGTGTGAAAGTTCTGTAGATGCGTGGAAATTTAATGGAATGAAATGGTATATGTAAAAATGTACAATTTTCACTTGTGGAACTGTAAATTATAAATAAAAGATATTTTTGCTATATATGGAGTGTAATGTTTATGCACACCATCAAATGAAGACAGTGTTTCTGTACTTTTTTCAGTTTAAATGGAATTCAAAAGAACTTTTGCTCAATAAGATTCAGAAAAATGAAAGCAAATAACTTTCTTCAATTACCCATAGGTGGGTTATCAAGGGAAACGTTGCAGACAGATAACCCTAGATTTCTTTTTCATACCCCCACAAAACAAACCCCATACACAAAAAACCCCAGAACAAAACAAGAAACACAAAAACCCCACAACAACAACAAAAAACAAAAGGACAGGTCTGGATAGAAGGGCAAAATTTAACAAACCAACCCGTGTGCTTGATTGTGAACACAAGTGCCAATAAACAATTAACAAACCAGGATGCCAGGTAGTTAAGACATTTTTAATGATTATTTTTTTCCATTAGTCAAACATAGGAGTTTAATACAGCTGAACAAACTTTTCTTTACACAGGAGAATGAATGTAAGAATGCTCATTTGAAACATGGTTAACACTTTTTTTTGTTGCTGATGACTGGACTTAGATGGTAAACCAGATATCCTGAGATGTTAATATTTCTTAAATGTAATAAATAAAATTAAGCATATATTTCAGTGTGAGTCTCTTCCTTTCAGTAATGGGTTTGTTTGACTGGTGTGTTTGTGGGACTGGAAATAATACAATTGTGTGTCAGGGCAATTCTCCGTGTAATGTTTTACTCACTCTGGTGTGTATAGTGGATGTTTTTAAAGCTGCTGGGAGTGAGACTTAAGCACTGAAAGTCAGAAGAGCAATGTCACAGTTCCAGTGTATCGCAGTGAGGTGACTTGGGAGATCAGAATTTGCCTTTGGTGTATGATGTAAGCAGAAATAATCAGCTGTGAAGGTGATTTTGCTGTTGGCTGCAGCACTGCTTCCCATCCGCACAAGAAGTCTTCAAGCAGTTTTTAAGATACAAATAATGCCTTGACTCTTGTGTTAAGGTTGAAGCTGTAGTTGTGAGAGTGCCCTGTTCTAGACGTCAACCTTAAAAATAGATTTCAATTGGACAAAGTCTAGAGGAACAAAAACTATTTAATGGATGGATCAGGGATAAGTTGAGCTGTGTGTGTGGCTGTTGGCTGTGCTGTGGGGAGTTAGTCCTGTGTTATTTGTTGCTACTTCGTCCTGGAACAGGGATGTAGGATTGGATAAATTGACACTTTGTGTCCTGGAATACTTTGAAATTGTACAAATTGAAATTCAGAGGAAACTGAAGCAGAGATATGTGATTTCTTTAAATATGTAGAAGGCTGTTAGGAGAAGGGAACAAATTACCTATTATGGATAGAACAAAAAGAGACCTACGAGTTGCAGCAGGAAGATTTACTGTGACTTTCTAAGGACAAGTTCTAAATAGGCCTGCCTTGGTCCCTGTGATTAGCAATCCACACCTGATGTGATTGGGAAGGGTTCATCCTGCTTGGGAGCAGGATTCTGGAAATCCTGGCTGAATTTGTTCACCCCATCAAAGGACCCTGCCTTCTCTCCAGGGCACCAGCTGGTTTTGGCTAAAGGGGGTGAGGAGTAGGACTGTAACTGCAGGACAAAAAACATCCCCCTTGTGCTCTAGGAACATCTTAGTGCAGAGGGAGAGGGTTAAACATGTACAAATCGGGACTGGAGTCGGATTTTATTGCTGAGAGGGCAGAAACAGGTTCAGAGGTGAGGAGAGACACCGATTTGTCACGCTCCTCCAGAGGAACGCCATGAAGACACAAGCCCCCGGCTGCCAAAAAAAGCACTACCCGGCAACGCAAGCTTCCCCTTGCCATCCGAATTGCCCCTCGAGTGCCACAGCCACCCCAGCTCGCACGAATGAACCT